GAAACAACATCAATTCAACAATTCAATATTGGCAATTTATCGTCATTGCAACAAGAAAATATTGAAATTTTAGAAAAAAAAGAATAATTCCTCTGATAATGCTGTGTCTTTTTTTTTTCTTTTTTGTTTTTGCGAAAATTATTTTATTCTTTTCTTTTTTTATTTAAATATTTTTTGAAATATTTCATTTGATATGAAACGATTGAGGAAAAAAGAAATATTTTAGATAGTGAAATTGAAGTAATTTTGAAATGAGCAATTATTTCAATCTAAACAATGTTTTAAATATTAATGATATTTGAACAGAAACTTATAAAAACCAATTAACAGTTATCATCATGATGTTATAGTTCAATACAAATGTTATCAAATAAACATTTTACAGTTTTCATCATTTTTTTTTCCACTCAATACCATTAACGTAACATCATCTTTTCAATATATTTGACAGTTATAAGTAGTAAACAACTGATCAAAATGATAATGATAATAAAATAGGAGTATTATTAATCATATCGTTTTTATTTTTGTTATCTTAAACTCAGACTTCTAATTTACATATAAATGTAATATAAGTAAAAGCAACATACAGAATAAATAACGAAAAGAAGAATGAATTGTATAGGATTGCATTAGACTTCTTTTTTCAAATTTTACAAATAAAAATTGCTAAAGTTAAATAATCATTATTTTAGGAATAATAATCATTACTATTTTCATTGCCGTCATTATTATCATTATTAATATTGCTGCTGATTTAAATAAATTAGTAATAATAATTTCTTGTCATCGGTTTATTGATGGAATTTGAGTGAGAGGCAAAAAAAGGAAAAGAAAACGAAAAAAATGAATGAGGGTTAATTCATTTTGTCTTGGAAAGATTTGAAAAAAAAAAGAAGCAAAATGTTCCCAGCAGGAATGAATTTGTTGAAAGATATAAAATAAATCAATAAAAGGCATGCAGAAAGATATATGCTCGAGAAAATTATCAATAATTCAAATTATCAAATTACGACAACCTGAAATTGTCCTTAAAACAGCGTATAGTACACCATCAGTAATCGTTCAAAAAAAATTTCTTATAGTAATACTATACCTAACAATGTTGAATTAATTGATCGTTGGTATAATTATGGTATTATATCTATAATCAATACACCTTTAGAAAAATTTTCTATAAATTATGTTTATTTTATAATTATTACCATCAATATGTCATCAATATCATGATATCTAACATATTAATATCATTATTCCCACTATTATTACTATTAATTTATCAATCCTTTCGTCATTTTGATCAAATTTGTGATTGATTAATTTGTATATTTGATAACACAATGGTATTCAAATAAATATAACTGGCCAAGGATAAAGAGGAAAGAAAATATTGAAATTAGCATAACAAAAAGGATAAAAATTGAAAAAATTTATTTAAAAATTGAAAAAAAAAACAACAATGAGCAATGACGAAAGAAACGACAAAAACATATAATTCGGTGAATTGTTACCGAAAAAGAAACCGGAAAAACCGGAGTGAAAAGCACTTATATATATACATATATTGTTTCCCGTCTAATGAAAGGAATTTTTGAATTTGTAATTATTAATTGTAAAACAAAAAAAAATCATACATTAAAATAATGAATAAACAAAAGAAATGCTGAAATCGTTGCATTACCAATATCAAATATATTTTCAAAAAAAAGTTGATAAATTAAATAATATTCAGGAAAAATCAAAAATCAGAAGGTATTTAAAAAAAAATGTCAAGAAACAGAGAACATTCGGAAAAAGTCAAAAATTGAATAGCATTCAGGAAAAATTAGAAATTAAATATATCTTATGCAGAGAGCATGAAAAGCTTAACAAATAGTTCATTATCATAGAGTAAACTATAATATGATGTAAAGCAAGTTTTTTATGGTTAAAATGGTAAAACTAAAATTTCTATCATTTGTAAAATTTTAAGAAATAAAAAATCAAAATATAACAATTGCAAATTAAAAAACAATCATTAAATATGTATATGTATATACGGCCAGGAATGGTTAATATTAGAAAGAATATGTGAAAAAAAAAGGGGAAAAAAAGATGACTTTTTTATCAAATGTTGATTAAAATATATTAAACAAATCAATGCAGAGAATTTAAAATATAAAAATTTTAATTTTTATTTTAACTTTACCTCATTCTTTCCTCAGTTTTTATTATAATTAATTATTCATTCAGTATTAATATTTCTGTCATTTTCATTCAGAAATTTATCTTCCTCATCAGAAATTAAATACCGATGATAATAATTTGTAAAGTATATTATTGCATTACTCATACACTATCCCCGAGATTACTGTCATTGATTTTATATGCGAAAAACAATTTCCGCAATTAGGATTAAATGAAAAATACTTAGGTAACAATATCAACACATTAATTGTCTAACATTAAAATGATAATGTATTTATTTAGACAAAAAAAAAAAATGAAACAACTTTTAAAAACAAATATTGAAATAATACAACTGAGTAATGAAAAGAAGAATAAAGAAAATGTTTGGTGTGAAAATGTTCGTTTACCGAATACAATTACGCCATCCAATAATGACGTACATGTTTGCCAGAAACGTTTTTATCAATATATTTCATTGAAGATGCTTACAGATAATAAATATATCAAATATCAAATTATTCAATTCTGTTTAGCCTATATGTATTAGCAATCTTGGAAATTCACAAAATAATTTAAATGAAAATTACTTAGGTAACAATATCAACACATCAACTGTCTAACATTAAAATCCATTCGTAATTTTTAGCATTCATCAGAGATTACAGCTTCCGGAAAACACTCCTTTGCTACATTCAGAAATGTCGAATCATTTGATTAATTATTAAGCTCAATTCTTTTTCCAGCAATTTGATGTGTGCTAATAATTGAAAAGGTGAAATAAAAAAAAGAAAAAGCATAAAAAAGGAAAATCAAAATTAAAAAAAAAATTCCAAAAAAACAAAAAAGCACAAAAAAGGAAAATCAAAAATTAAAAAAGAAGCCAACAAATTATCAAAATTTATTCCAAGAAAAAAAAGTTAAAGATTACTTCAAATTCTTACATAACAATATGCTAATAAAAAAAAAAAAAATTGATCAAAAAACGAGCATAATAAATCACAAAATTTTTGCAAAAGTTACAAAAGTTGACAAGAGATTGAGAAAAAGTTGGAAATAGTTACAATTTATAATGGCATTAGAGATTGAGGGAAAAAGTAATACACTGTGACAAACAGCTGATAAGGCAAACAGACATAGCAACAAGTATTGTTGTCACAATAGCCATTTTAATTTTAATGATTTTAATGGGTTTATGCCTGAAATGCTATCTCTTCTCTTTAATAGTTCACCTGCTCCCCCGCTCTTTCCATTGCCCCGCGTCTCCTCATCTTATCACTTTATCACTTTATCAGCTGTTCTTTCCATTCCCCGCATCTCCTCATCACTTCATCCTTTTCTCTTTGCATTCCCCCGCGTTTCCTCATCACTTTATCTTCTTCTCTTCCCATTTCCTCGCGTTTCCTTATCACTTATCATTTCTCATCATTTTTCACAGAACGGTAAAAATATGAGGAAAATAAATTATCATTGCAAAATTCATTTTTGTTTGTTTGTTTTTTCAATGTTTAGAAAATTGTGATGTAAATAAATGAACGTTATCAATTATTATTATCATTTTTATTGTATTTACCTGATTTGGTTGCTATTTACATTTACGAAAATTTATAAATGAAAAATAGCTTTGCACTTTTTCTTTTTTTTTGCATGAAAATAATAGAATTGAAATTGTTTATACTAAAAGAATCGATAAGAAGTAAATTGTATTATGTTGCATCTTTTGGATGAATGCGTTTGTTTAACACTTTCCATATTTATTCTCTTTTCAAATTATTGATTTTTTTATTTGCTAAAATTGCTATTGCGTGTGATATTTAAGCATACGTGATATTTAAGCGTGAAGTTAATTTATGCATGATAAGTGTTATAGTGTATAAGATTATTGCAAAATATTTGTACTTGTGTACATCTCATATTCCACTTCTTTTTTCGATTTCTCTTTTATTTTTTTTTTTCAATTTCTCTTTTATATTTTTGTGTATGCAATGTTAAGTGTAATCTTAACTGATAATTTATGTGTTTAAATTTGAAGTTAACTGAAAAAAAATTTTAGTTATATGGTACCAAACAAATGTGTAGTTCAGGTTTTTTCGTTTGCATTTGCTGGTTATAAATTAGTTTTGTAAAAACGCAAAAGATAAAAAGAATTTTATTTCAGATAAAGTGATCCAGCCTTCAAGTTTCTTTTGGATTTTTATATTTATACATGTCAAAATGTTTGGAAGTTATGGTACCGGAAATGGTAATGGCAATAAGCTAAATTTACGAACAGAAATCCTGGAAGGATTATTAGCATCGATGGGTGAGGTTTTTTTTGATAATTTGAAGAATCAAAATTAATTAATTAATTAATTGATAATTTAAGGAAGTGAGGGAAAAAATGCAAAAGTGAATTTATTGAAACAAACGATCATGCGAAATAAGACGGATATGGCGGGTGATGCTTTTCGTTCGCTCGATTTAATGCGACAAGTATGTTTTCTTTATAGCTACAAGATTACTTCATTTCAGTTATTTTGTAGTTACAAAAAGTAATCCAAGATTGCTTCTTTCAAATCTAAATTAAAATATTCATGCTTATTGATTGAGGAAAAGTTATTTATTTGTTGGCAGGATATTTAAAGTGAGAAAATATTTGGAAATCCATTTTAAAAATAAGTTATGTTGTTCGAAATTAAAGAAAAAGGGAAGAAGATATAATTTAATGAGTTGAAAGTTTGGTGCTTATTTTTCAATATCCATACTTTTGAGGAATCATAAATTAAATCTTTCATGAAGCGTATCGCGCCATTTAAACTTTCAACCTATTAAATTGTATCTTCGGTATAACAACAAAAAATTTATATTTGCATTTGTTAGGTTTTTCAATCCGAAATGACTGATGAATTTCGGCAAATTATTGAGCGACATTTAAGAACGACTTTTTCTCCAGCATTGGAAAATCTTCAGAGAAATGGATTGGTTCGTTTAAAGATTTTCCTACAACTTTTGTTTTATTTTGATTTGGTAAAAGAATATGAAAAAAAAGCTATTTCATTAAATTTAAAGGACAATTTACAAGATAATCAAGCAATCTATAATCGTTTTTTTTTTTTCACTGTACAATTATTGCAGCAAAGATGCATTAAACTAAATAATCACATAATCCTGATGATATTGCTATATTTTTTATTGATCTATGATTTATGTATACATGAGACATGTATGATTTCAGTTTATATCTTTTATTTGTATATTAATTTGGCAAAACAATTAGCTTTTCTATTTTGTACAAATATTCCTTTGACCATCTATCCTTTTCCATTTTATTTTCAGGAAGTCACAGAGGATGACATCAAATGCTTGTGTCGTAGCATTCTTGAAGCAGCTAAAAAGCCATTTCTCTGTGAGAAACAAACGGAAGGTTTGTCGGAAAAAGAATTAGAATCTCCAAAGTAGGTTATTTCTCGTTCATTTTATCAATTAATTAAGGGATGTTTATTCATTATTCAATCACAGAACAGAGATGCATTACAATAAATGCATATTTTACTTTTGCTGCTTTATCATGTGTCATATTCAGCTAATTATTGTTTTTTTTGAAACAGCTTTCAAAAAGATTAAGCATGTTCTTCTTAGATAATCAGCTTTAGCATTAGGAAGAAAGCGGTGTAAAGATAATTACTGTCAAGTGAAGGTTATCCTATCATGTCTTTAGAAAGAAAAAATCAACTTTGTCAACACATATTAAATGTGTTACAGTTTTCTGACTGGTACTGAATCAGATCTAGACAGCGAAACGAGTGTTATTAATTTTATCGTACATCAACGTTCAACAAACATTCCTCCACGAGGAAGAAAGCGTGGTCGTCCTCCTAAAGTTAGATTTTATTAAATATTTGATCACTTATTATTTTATGAAAGGATTATGGGCACATATTTATATGCTTAAAATGTCTAAGTACCAGCCAGTGTTAATTTTGACTTTTCAGACAGATAATCTTGGTCGAAGTACTCCATCGTATGTCCATATCAGTGAGATGATGGCTACTGATTTAGATTTGGCCAAGGTATTTTTTATATTTATTATTTCTTGTTAAATGAGTAATAAAGGGATTTTATTTCATCTTGCAATGCGGCGACATTAGATGCAAAGGATGATGTTAGATAGATTAAAGTTTTAAATATGTTACTTTGAAGAAATTCCAAACATGTAACTTGAAATATGTCATTTTTATAGTGGAATCCGGATCGTGTCTGTTCATCATCACAATTCATTCTTATATCGAAAGTTTCTCGAATGCTAATGCTTCATGATTATCGAGAGTTACTCATAAGATATCCAACTATTTTCCGGGTAATTTGGATTTATTGAGTAAATTTTAAACATGTAAAAGTGCATCAATTCCAAATAGTTTAGATTTATAGTTTAAAGTACAGGGCAAGTATTTCTTACAATTTTCCTCTTTCTTTTTGCATTATTTACTTTATTAGAAATAAGAAAAGTGCCGTATGTTACTGCAAATTTCTGAGATATGTCTAATCTTATCTTACATTGCATTTATTTCGTTAATCGAAAAGATGGAATAATTTGATTTTACTATTCTTCCATATTGTTGCGCTTCTTACTAGTTATTTTGCAAGAATATATTATTGGTAATAAATATAAATAATGTTTAGTGCATAGGTGACCTTGATATTAAACTTCCTAAAATTACAGTATAGTAGTGATGAGATGGATCGAAAATGGCTAATTAAAAATCGACTCACAACTCGATTAAGTGGGAAAATTTACTTGCTCTTGCTCAATGATGCAGCTGAAATTGCTAATACAGAAGGGCTTTCGTTAGTTTATTACCTTTCTTTTCTTTATTTCGGATTTCTTATCCTTCCTAATTTTTCGAAAATTGCTCATTCTAATCAATACTTATTAAAAATGGCTATAAAAAAAATGTATGCTGTAAGATAGATCGAAATAGCATTAATAAGCATTACTCACATATTTTGAATAAAAGATGATTGTTGTGCATTATTACTGAAATTGAAAATAGGAAAGACTACAATTTTATTTTTTTTTCAATGTTTTCAGAATTTTTTTTAATATTATCAAAAAAATAATTTCAGCAATTCATTTTTGAAAGACAGTAAGTTTTGATAAAAAAGGACAGTTTACAGGATGAGGTTTTATTTATTTGCAGTTTATGATCTACTTGTACAGTAATATCACGAACATTAAGGTCATTCTGATGAATGTATTGAACTGAGAGTTTTTTTTTCTTCGATCCTTGGAAATTTATGTGCATGCGAGCTATTTATAACTTAATTTCATTTAATTTTGATTATAAATCTTTTAATTTCAACTTACTTCATCTTATCATTTTTGTTCATACAATGCTAATTTACCTCTACGAAAAAGATTATTTTGATAATAGCAATTTGCTACTTTTTTAGTTTGTAATTTCAGTTTTGAAAGTATTTTACTATTCAGATAGGGACATAGCGGGTCAATTTTACTGCTGTTAAATTGACAGGGAAATTTTACGAAAAAAAATTAATTTAAGATGATTGCAGTGAATAATAATTCACTATTTTGATATAATGTAATGTGGAGAATATAATTAAAATAAATAGACCAATGATTGAAATTTTCAGCATTTAATTTTTATCAGTATCAGTAGTTTTTTTTTTTTTAGATATGTGGTTGATGTTTTGAAATGCTTCGCATTTTGCGTACCACCATCAATGATTCTGAAAATGAAGCAAGAAATGCGAAAAGTTTTCGATACTTCAAAAAGCATTTAAAATGCATTTTCATAAAAATACAGGTTTATAGGTGTGTCTTATGTATTTTATGGTGCCTTTATAAAACTTTGAATTACAAAATGCAAGTTCTATTTACAATAGCATTTTATATTCTGATTAGGTTTTGCTATGACAATTTAGCTTGTTAATAAATTTTAATTTTGTTTCTGAAATGCTTTTCAAATTATTTCAATTTTATGATTTGATTTAATGTTTTCTAAAAGGTAATATTTAAAAATTTTTTTTTGATTCGCCATATTTTATAATCTTTGATTTAATTAATAATTATATGCTTCTTTTCTCTTGCCCAATTATATGAGTAGCATCATATAAGAATTTTGTTGAAATGACGAGTAAAGAGTAAATGTCGAAGTTAGAAGGTGGAAATTTTGAAAAATTATTAATTAAAGCCTAAAACTCATCTACGGTTATTAGTTTCTAACAATGGTGATTCATCGATATGTACTTTTTCATTTCATTTCATGGAAAATATACGTGTAAAGATATGTTATGGTTCTTTAATTACCTGCTGCATACCTGCTACGGCTTATTGAGTTATCATGTTTACTGTTTACTGATCTATTTTAATTCATTAACAAGTCAGGCTTTTTTTATTTCGTTTAATTCCTTAATTTATTATTTTTCAATTCATTATTTAAAAAATCACTCCTGTCATTATTTTTAAGATTACTGTAAGGTATATATTTGTCCGGTGATATACATATAATTAATAAAAGTATTGATTTAATTGACATGATTGTTATGATATATTAGTGTGAAGGAGTAGAAAATTGATAAAAGCTATTTCAAAAACAAAAAAAAAAAAGAAACTTAGCATAAAAATTTGAATAAAAATAATTCTTTTTTTTCATTTATTCACTTCAAATTCAGGAATTTTTTTCTGTCATTAAATCATTTAAAAATAGTTGATTAATATTAAAAATAAGTCAATTATTAATGCGAACGGTTGATTTGCTGCATCAAAAAGAAAAAAATTGATTAGTTTTTTTAATGATTATAATTATTGCAAGAGGGAATTTTTTTTTTTTTT